TACTAAGAGGTGAATAAAAAAAAACCCTGCTCTGCATCTTTTCTGTTAGGGTTTCTATGGCGAGCGATTCGGAGAGGACCAGGTTGAAGTCATTAAGGACTCCAACCCGGTGGACAAGTGCAAGCTGGACCCTAATAAGGTTGGTGTTGGGTAAAGCATACACACCCATATGGTGAATATTATAGTCTGAAGGCTTTACCATATCATAAAATGAATCTTTTGCTTTCTGCAGGCTTTCATCCAGATCACATATGTGGAGCCGTACTTTGACACTTACGAGATGAAGGACCGCATCACTTACTTTGACAAGAACTACAACTTGCGCCGCTTCGTCTACTGCACCCCTTTCACCCTGGATGGGCGGGCCCACGGGGACCTGCACGAGCAGTTCAAACGCAAGACCATCCTCACCACCTCCCATGCCTTCCCTTACATCAAGACACGGATCAACATCATCCACAAAGAGGAGGTAGGAGGCACTTAACAGGCAGTGTACAGGAAAACAAGTCGAAGATAAGTGACCTTTGACTTGCAGCACCGTCATCCATTAGCTTCCATTTCATTTGCATTGTGTAAATGGTCTGGTCTGCACTTGCATAGCGCTTTTATCCAAAGCGCTTTACAATGTGTTTCTCATTCACCCATTCACACACCAATGGTGACAGAGCTGCCATGCAAAGTGCTGCCTACCATTGGGAGCAACTTTGGGTTCAGTGTCACTTCCGCCAACCTTGATTGAACCACCAACCTTGCGACTGGAAGACAACCCGCTCCACCACCTGAGCCACAGCCTCCCATGTGCAACAACACACCATCCTTTCCTGTCCATCCTTGGAAGGAAGGCATTTTGAAGATTTGGTGGCCCTAAAGGAGATCAGAGAATGATGTTCTGTACAGGTTTAGCTCTACACCTCACCCTGATCACGAACACTGCTTAAATCTGTCCTTCTCCAGATCATATCCACACCCATAGAGGTGGCAATAGAGGACATGCAGAAGAAGACTCAGGAGTTGGCCTTTGCCACCCACCAGGACCCTGCTGACGCCAAGATGCTGCAGATGGTCCTACAGGGATCGGTGGGCACAACTGTCAACCAGGTAAGGCATGCAGATCAAAATGGAGCTAACGATTCCATCAAGACAAGTGAAGCAGTAGTGTGATATTTACCAGCTTGTCTGTTTTTTAAGGGTCCTTTGGAAGTGGCGCAGGTGTTCCTGTCAGAGATCCCCAGCGACCCAAAACTGTACAGACACCACAATAAGCTACGGCTGTGCTTTAAAGACTTCACAAAGAGGTAAGCACTGCTCCTGATGAGTCCTGTACCGATGGACAGAACGTTGAAAAGTGGGATTTAATACAAGAGCATGGAAATTATGAGAACATAATCTCATCGTAATGTGCTGTATGTCTCATGATCATCAGAAAATGTTGTATTTAAGAGGAAAGAATGTTTGGGGCGCTGCTATATCTCACCTGGTTGAGCTGGCATCCCATGTTCAGGGGCTTTAATCCAAGACGCAGCAGTCATGGGTTTGAGTCTCGCTCATGGCCCTTTGCTGCAAGAGCGTTTGATAATTAAAGTTTAATCATGGTGGACTGTTTCATGTGCCGTGATGGCCGGTAGGAACGGGTTCACTTTAATGACACCCACTGACAGTTGCCTTAAAGAAGAATTACAGTTTATTTCAAACACTTGTATTTTCCATTAATGTGGCTCTAAGTGCTCATGCTGACTTTGCACTCTTTACTTTCCACAGTGGAGATTCTAGGAAACAGCTTTTAGCAGGGGGCAATTAGCATCAGCTCCCTGCAGCTTTCCAAAGAAAGCTCATTTTTATACATGAATCATTTAAACATTTGCTTTTAAGTCTGACTTTATGGAAACAAAGAAATTAGCCATCTGGAGTAAAAAAAAAAAAAAAAAAATGTCCTGACTGCTTTAGCGTTTCCGTACCGTATGGAGAGCTGAGCAATCAACCTGCCACGTCTTGGTTCCAGTTCATTTTCGGGCAGCATCTCCAGGACGACAGTGTTTATCAAAGCTGGAGATTTATTAGTTGTAGTGTCGCAGCTGGGATCCTTCTCATCCATGGAACATTTCCAAATCTGCCATCAACGAGTCTCACTCTTTGTGACAACAGTGTTTTGTTTTTTTTCTCTCAGCTGGCAGCAGTGAGACCATGAACACAGTCAGTGTTGTGTTTCTGCCTCCATCCCCACAGTCAGCCTCGCTCATGTAAACAAAGCAGCATGTGCAGATGAATATGTTGGTAATGCTGACTAATAGAAAGATCCCTAACACAGTTAACAATATGTCCGTTCCAGGTGACTAATTCTGTGTAATGTTAGTCAGACTGGAGACAACCATTTAAATGATTCATGGAAGAATCTGTTTTTTTTTTTGGAAAGCTGCTTCTCCCACTGAACAGCGATCACAAGTTGTTTCATGAATCCTCATTTTCCACAATCTCTACATCAGAGGTGAAAAACACAAAGTTAGCATGCCCTGTAGAACCACATTAATGGTAAATGTGTCAGGTTGAAATGAACCGAAATCCTCTTTTAACTCAAGTCCATTAACCCTTGTTTACACCACAAGAAGCAATTTCTGCATTTCTCTGCCTTCCCTGCCAAAGGTGTGAGGACGCCCTGCGTAAGAACAAGAGCCTGATTGGTCCAGACCAGAAAGAGTACCAGAGGGAGCTGGAGAGGAACTACCACCGGCTGAAGGAGGCCCTGCAGCCGCTCATCAACAGGAAGATCCCCCAGCTTTATAAACCTGTACTGCAGGTCAACTCACACAGGTAGGACTCAGCACGCCTTCACTGTGACAGCAGATCATGCGTTGTGGATAGTAAATTAAATCTGTATTTGTTTTTGCTTCTGTAAAAATCACGCAGCAAACGGACAGCTTGACAAGGTAGTTTGGGATTTACATTTTGTGTTCTGTATTTTTGTCATTTGCAAGGTTTTCACTGATGACTTACTTTGTATTCCACAAAGGAAAGAATGCATTTTTTTTTTCCTAGTTTATTTACAGCGTTATGGTGTTTATTCATGTATCAGTTAATAGCTTTGGGTCCATATGTAGAAATAACCAACATACACACCAGTAGCACATCAAGAATTAATAATATGTTGTAAGGGTGTGCCCTAATTACAAAAATGACATTTTAAGGATACAGTAGACACTTTGCATTTTTTATTCACTTCAGTTTCATTGCATACAAACACAGGAACTGACATTTTAAAGTGGCAACAGACAACACGTTTCCAAATGCTGTTGCAAAAGCTAAATCACTTTCCATTTTGCTCCGAGCTGCAGTGACGAACAGCGTTAGCAGCATGGTTACTGCTAAGGCCACTCTGCATCTGCAAATTCATGATGGTATGCTGAGGTCCATGCGATATAAACTTACAAGTTATTTCTCCAAGTACACAACCTCTCCGTGCACAGCCTAAATGTACTGAATCCCATTTATTAATGAGCAGGCGGGCATTTTTACTTACTGATCTGGCAGAAATAACGGCCGACTGGACATCTGTGTTGAACCCTCATAAGTCTGGGAGCTCTCTCTCCGTCCAGTGAATGCTCCTCTGAGGTTTACTCTCCATCATTATCTCTGTTCTGTGGCTCCTCCAACACCTGAGCTCTTTTTCTTTTGCCGCAGTTTCCTCAGTTACTCGGGCTTCATTTTCCCTGAGGATTTGACACAGAGTTGCATCATGAAACCTTACACAGAACCAATCTAAATGCAGATGGTGCCACTGTTCTACAGGCAGCAATCAAGGAAAGTTAAATTTAAAAAAAAAAAAGAAAAAAGTTGTCTTTTGTCACTTTAACCTTCGGGGTCAGATCTGTGAATGAAAACTACATCTGCTGCTGGAAATTGAGAACTTACAAAACCTCGAAATGATGTTTCAAAAAAGATAATACAGCAACAGAAATGACAAAACGATAAGGCTACAAAATCAGTTCCTTCAGCGTTGAAAATGTCTTTGTGTGAATAAGATGTCTTTTATTTTGTATTTGCAGAGATTCCTTCAGCAGAATGAGTCTTCGTAAGCTTGACATTTGAAGATGAAGAGAATGCACACACACACACAGCCACACACACACACACACAGCCACACACACGATTGAAATTGCAATATTAATTTATTCTCAAGTGTAAATAGGAGTGTCTTGAAAGTTGGTCAGTGTTTCCGAAAGCGAGAACGGCTAAACAAGTTGCAGCTTGGTACGTCATTCCAGTGTCTTAATTTGTTTACAGACAAACTGTTACACAATCAGAGGAGCGAAACAAGTGGATCTTAAAGATTAAAGAGATACCTTGGCATTTAGAATTTCTCTTTGCAAGTCATTTTAGTCGGGAACAAGTTGCTCGCACCTGTCCCCGATGCTACTTTATAAAAAAGCTAATAGCGTTAGCCCTCTGTTGGAGCCACAGACTATGAAGAATGCTCTGAGTTTCCTTTTATTAGTTCATTAAAGTGCCAAAAACCCTTTTTGCCGCCAAAATTTTTACAAGCGTCTGCAGAAAAGGTACGATTTTAAAAGTCAAGGTGTCTTTTTAATTATGTACGATGTGTCAAAAAAACAAAAAAAATCTGTATTCAATTTCATGTGTGCACTTTTTTTATTATGGTGTAGCAATGCATTTTACAACTTGAAAGTTTATGTAATTCAAAACAGGGGGGGGGGGGGAGAAGGGAAAAAAAAAAAAGAAGAAAACATGCAAAAAACGGTACCAGTATTTATCATGATGCTTTATTATCATTTTTAGTTGAAGCGACAATGTTTTAAAGTTAGGTACTTTAAACATCCTTGTATAATTTTATGTAGTTTTGTTTTATTTTAAATATTTTACTAAATAAATATTTTAATGTTCAGATGGTGTCATGTGATGATGTTTCTCCAATGAGTTGTTTTTAATGAGAACAAACAAGTGAATGAGGCAAAGTATCACCATGTAGCTTGTCCACAATGAGGAGGACGTGAAGGTAAAAACTTTATTGCTTATAGTTTGAGCTTTGACATAAATGACAGCTGGAATGGGGCACAGTTTAAAGGACACTCCAATCAGGACTGCATCTGTTTTATTACAACAATTACACCAACTCTGCATGTATGTGAGTTAAATACTCATCTCCCGATTAAATACCAATGATTTATAGTAAACTGAGAATCACTTGAATGACTCGTGAAAAGCTGAACTAGACACGTACGAGTCGAGCCCTGAAACCGTGATTGGACCTGAGATGAGCGATGTCATCGTTACTGTGTTTTACCGTAGTACTCGTTAATGACTGTGGTTATAAATGCAATATTTTACATGAGAAATCAGCGAACCAGTGCAGCGGATTCAATCCTTGATTAGTGACAGTAGTTCCTCGAGCACGCACAGGGACATGCTCTGAATGCAAACGTCCATTTGCTTTCTTATTGTTATGGCAAGATTCTAAAATGTTAAATGCGGAGGAGACAATCATCCGTTTGGGCTAAAGAGTCTCAAAAAAGACTTGAATCTAAAATTTGGGTTAGAAGAATAACCATGTTTATACGGAGCCGGACACTTGAAAAGACAAAAGTTTGTGCTGCTTGTAGCTGTTATCAGCCACAACATTAAAACAGCCTGCTTGTCTATGTGTCACCAAAACAGCTCTGACCCATCAGAACATAGACACAGAACCTCTAGGGGTGTTCTCTGGTACCAGGACACAGGTAGTAGATTTTTGGGGGGTTTTGTGGTGAGGTCTCCATGAGTCTGGCTTGTTGTAGCACATCTCAGTGATGCTTTTGGCTCTTTGTCGTGTTCCTGAAGCCGTTCGTTCCTCACCAGTTTGGTTTTTTTGGTGTTGCGGGGCGCCTCGTCGGTCTACAACATTGTTTAGGTGGGAGGTATGTGTTCAAGTAACATCCACATGAATGCCAGCGCTTCGTGTTTCCCAAGATGATTGCTATTATTCACTTCACCTCTCTGTGGTTGTAATGTTGTGGCTGATCTCTGTATGTAAACAGTGACAACGGCCCAGAGCAGCTTTGAGTGGAACTGCTCACTAAACTCTAACACAGAATTTCCTCACGTGGCTTAGAAACATTTAAAAAAAACTTGTGATTCTGTTTTTACTTTTAAAGCCTCCAATGTGACCCAGTGCACTCTCAATTCTTAACAGTTGAGTCTTTCATGAAACAGAAGTGGAGGTATGCTGTGGGAGTCGGGGTCTCAGTGGGCACAGCTCTTCCTCTAACCCCTGTCGACCCTTCCTCCTCCTCCTCCTCCTCCTCACTGCACAAAACTAAGTTACAGCTGAAGTTGTGTGTGAAATAAGAAGCTTCAAAATGACGGATGCAAATTTCAAATCCTGATTTGCACATTCAAATATGTTCATTGTTAGCTACACACTTAAATATGGAAGCTGTTTTTTTTTTAATTTTATATATAACCTTGCAAAATGTATCCTATAAAAAACCCCAATAGCTTACTCAAAGATTTATTTAAGCATCATTCACCATAAATTGGCACCTTAAATAGTCTGATATCTGAGCTGAGTGATGAACTGCAAAAGTGAACTCGAGTACCAACAAAATATTCAGAAACTTTGCATTAAGAAACTGTTTTATGTAATTGCACAGCGCTCAAAACATTTAAGGGAACACTTCATGATGTAATTTTGTTCTCAATAAATGACACAGTGTTCATCGATGCTTGGACAGGGGACAACAAAACCCACAATCACTTCCTAGATTGAGATCCCAGAAGTTTAGCTGAATCGACGTTACACCGTGATGATTCAGTGTTCCCTTAATTTTTTTGAGCCGTATATGTTGCTACTGAGTGTCCTACACTCTAGGTTCACCAGCATAGATGGTATTCACCTTAGGCCTTTAGATATACAAAAATATGTACACGTTTGTATGTAAAACCCTTAAATAAGGGATTGGTTCACAGGAAAAACCTTTCAGAGGTGAGTAAAGGCTCTTCTGAAGAAAAAACAAAAAATTATACAGCACTTACAGAAAAAAGAGAAACTTTCAGCCTTGGGGGAAAAAAAAAAAGACATTTCCCAACATTTTACATTTTCACTTTAGTTCAAAAGTGCTTTTTCACTTTGTAAGAATGAGCCATACAAACTTAGAAAGACAAAAAAATAGAACAAGGTACAGACATTGACAGAGTAGTAAAGCCAGTGTCAAAGGAGTTATAGTACAGTAAAGACCGTAAAAAGACCCTGTACAGGAAAAAAAAAAAAGAAAAAGTTGTAGTCCTCCCTGGCATTCAGAAGATCAGATCATCATTTGTAGTATGTGTGTTTATTTCTAAAATATTACTTTGAATCCATCCTGGCCTCCACCAGCTGAGTACCTGCATATGAGTTCATGAAGCAGGAAATGGCCTTGGTCCCATAGAGAGAAGAGTTCATGTGGCAGCCGCAGTATTTTTGGCACGATTTAAAAAAATACATCTGTCTTTAGTCTGGGGGCTCAGCTGCAACCGAGTGTTTATTTTAGTGTCCGGGTTCAGGCATCCTTCTGTAAAACAGCAGGTAAGGTGTCGATGAGGAGCACGTCTCAGGAGAGCAGGCTTGCAGGAAATCCTCCTCCTCAAACAGACGCACTTCAGAGTCATCAAACAGCAGCCATTTGCCTTCATATTCCAGGAGGCTGTTTAAAGCCTGCTGCTCCGTGGCCTCCACCCCGCCGCAGGGAGTCATCGATGCCTCCTCGGCTGCCTCTGGCTCCTTTTTAAGTCCAGCTTCAGTGTTCTGGCTGGTGCTGTTGATGGTTTTTCTCCGCTTAGATCCCTCTGTTGCTCCACCGCTGCCTGCCTTCTCTGTGTGTTTGCTGCCTCCGAGCTCATAACTGGACAAACTCCTCTGGCCTCCCAAGAGTCCAACTCCACCCTCTGACAGCTTTTTGCTCCCTGATTTAGCCAGACTTGCCCGTCTCTGTCCCCTTGCATTGAGGCTGAAGGATACCTCTCCATCATCGTAGTCCAGCCCTTCGTCTTTGATCTGTGCGCCCTCTTTACTTTGCTTCTCTTCTTCCTCCTCCCCTGACTCTTTTCCGTTCCGCGACCCGAACTTGGCGTCTTTCAGGTCAGACATGCGGACGTAGGCGGTGTAGTGGCCGCTGCTGATGGTGACGCCGCTGTGCATGACCACAGCGAAGAGCTGGTAGTGATGCCCTTTAGTGGACGAGGGACGAGTGCACCATTCCTCCAGGGACAAGGTCAAAGGGGTCTGTAAGGGAGTGTTCACCTTAGAGAGGCCTGCGTACGGGTCCAATCTGGAGGGACGACAAACAGGCACATGAGATCATATTAATACAATGTTATACCACAGCTCTTACCGTGTCATTATTGCATTTAAAGGCTAATTTAAGTGGCTTCCTTTAAAGTCAGTAAATGCCACGTAGGGACCAACAACAAATAGATCCTGCCCATGTGAGCACTCTCACACTTTTAGGCTGTCGTCTTATACAGTTAGATGTTCTTGAAAGCAAATCTGTTGCTTCTATGTGCCAACAAGCTGGTTACTATTGTACACTTAGGAAGGACTGTCAGCTTTTATGTCAATCGAGAAAAGTGGTTTAGTTCGATTCTTAAAATTATGCGTGATATCTGAGCAGCACAAAGTATAAAAAATGAGGAGGACAGCTAGCAGTTGATTGGAATCTTCTTAGAATTTTTCTCTTAAATTATTCCTGGAAGATTTCAGCTTTTGAGTTGGTAAAGAACACCCGTTTACTTCATGCACCAATAAACACAACATCTTTTGGAGAAGCAAGTAATTAAGATCTGAATTAAAATATTAAATGATTGACCCATTTGAACATCTGTACATTTCTGTGACTGGAAAAAGGTCAACTTGAAAAACGGAGTGCTCATGTGCCATTCACGTTTTAACACATGGTGTTAAAAAAAACATTCAAAACAGTCTCTAGACAAATGAGGCAGAGTTATTCAAAGTTATTCAAATTTTTTTTACTTTTTCTAAATGATGTGTTTTTTTTGTTTTCTTTTTGCTGAGCTGCAGCGGAGAAACACACGAGGAAAAAGAGGCAACTTGCAAAAACACTAACTTTAGAAAATATCCACTTGGTTCATCAGCTCCGACACCTGAAGCCTCATATAAGCTTCAGCTGGACTTTACAATTAAGCTTTGCACAAAAAGCCCTGTTTGATTTTGTCCCTCATAGCTTTAATCCACAGGTTGGAAGGTAGTTAGAGCTGTCTGCCCTGCTGCTGTGGACAGGAGGAGTGACTACAGCGATCATAACCTCCTCCAGCGTATATGTGTGCTGTCAGATGTGTAAACTCACTCTAAGCCGTTGGCGGAGAAGCGCTTCAGGTGAATGGTGATGACTTCGGGAGTTTTGTCAAACAGCAGACTTCTCTCAGCCTCCGTGTAATGATGGCAGGTCTCACAGAAGTATTTGTCCTCCCCGACGATGCGCTCCACCGACGCAAACTGAGCGATGGCCCATTTTAGAGTCTTCAGCTCTGGTTTAGGGTCTGGAGACACTGAAGGAGGAAAAATACAAGGTATTGACTTTATCATTATTGTTCTTTGCTTTGTAGTGTGAAAGGAAGGAAGCATGTAAACTTAAATGACACATGACTTTTGTCAAGTTGTTTTTTAAGCATTGGAAATTAAAATCCTCACCCTCAGAAAGGTCATCTGGGCTGCTAGGTTGATCATCGAGCACGGGGACGCTGATGTCCTGGAAGTCTTCCCTCCGCTCTGTGAAGCTCTCACACTCCAAACATCGAGTCCTCAGAACCAGCCGACCCTGAAACAGGCGCTCCATCAAGCCCAGGCCCTCGGAATCTAACAGAAACGGAGACATGGTCAAGTGCTGCACTGTTATTACGATCTGTAGTCATATGTAGGTGACAAACAGTCTGAGCTACAATCGCTTTATTGCCTTTTTCTTTTTTGTACATTCCCGTTCCAATGCTTTGAAAGTTGTTTTTAAAATGGAACAACCCTGAAAAGAAACAGAACCCTTAGCCAAATTATTTTTTTAAATCCCAAATTACTTTTGTGCACTTTTCTCAAGGAAACATGAGGCCTTAATGCTGAATGTTTTCTGTTATTACCAAACTGCCAGCTTTATTCCACAATTTTCTCCAGCTAGAAATATTATATTATTTCCTTATAAGCACTTCTTTCTCCTCTGTTAGTACTGTCCATGCCCTGTGCTTCGTACAGTAACTATCTCATACCTTGATGTTTCACTGCCTTCTTGTCTTCAGCTGTGTTCTGAGGTGGCATCTCTGGACTCTTCTTCTTCTGGTCATCCTTCAGATCTTGTTCCTCCTCTGCTTTGTTCTGGTTCTTCAAAATCGTAGAGCTCAGCTTCCCCACACTGCGGAACTTGGAGAAAATACTGGGCTGTTTCCCTGACGGCCTCAACCAGCTCAGCTTTGCTCTCTTCTTCCTCTTCCCATCCGTCTCTTTGGATGCTTTTTCATCCTTCCCCTCTTCGTCACTTCCTCCTTCCCGGTTAGGTTTCTCCTCTTCTGCCTTCTCCTCTCCACCTTTACTCTGGGTGTTGTCGATTGCGATGTCACTGGAGGACTTTCTTTTCGAGCGAGTGAGGGGCACATTTATACTGTTGTCTTCCGCAGTGTCAGATTTCTTCGACTTGACAGATTTTGGCTTTTTCTTGGCATTTCCCACCTCAGTGTCACTCTTTCTCTTGCCGCTGACTTGGCCGTCCTCTTCTGTGGGAGGTTTGGATGCTGTGGCAGAGCTGCTGGAGACCGAATGGAGGCCGTTTTCCATTTTGACTTCTGTCACGTCGTCATCCTCCTTTTCCAACTGCTGCTCCTTCCTGATGGTGTCACAGGCCTCCTGGATATATCCCAGGATGCACTGCAGAACTTCCTGAGCATCATGCTGAAGATATCCCTCATACATGGGGTTCAGCTGCCTGAAACACAAAACCAGAACAGACAGACAAATGACAATTTTGGCGATTGACCAACTGTCTCAGGGACTAATCTGGTTAAAAAAAACAACTGCTTGTTTTAGCTTTAAAAATGTCAATGACACTGATAATTTTTATGGTTATTTTTGACTGTAAAATATCAGCCTGGGCCTTGACTGACTTTAAATGTGCATTAGTTTGACTTTTCAACACACTAGATCACTCAAACAAGCCTTGCATTTAACAAAGTTATGTGTTATGTGTGAGTCTGATAAGTATGTGCCTAATTTAATGTTATATATGCCTTCATGTTTGTAATTTGGAAGGATTTGACTGTTTAATCACAACATTTTATTACATATATCAAAACAATTCATATCAAAGAGTAACTGAGTCCTCTTTGTACGTTGCTCACAAATTTTGACATTTCTCAAACAGAAAGAGACAGTTTTTTCTGACTTACTCTCCAGGTTTAGGTAGAAATAAGCTACATTTCCTTGTGAATGTAGGACTTCAGTAGCAACGGGGTAATAAATATATTTTAAAATCAACACATCATTACCTGAGTGTGTGTAGTAGTTTACGAGGCGGTGTAGCCAGCTCTCCTTCGCTGAAGCTGTCAGGACTGAGCAGGAAGCTGGACTGCAGCTGCTCCACTGAAAGTATCAGACTGTTGAAGCTCCCCAGGAGCTCGAGGTGAGCTGGCAGAGCCTCAGATGCACAGTCTGACTGCTGCGAATGTGGTTGAAGAATTACAAGCATTTACTAGAAGCTCTTTGATTCATATCTGGTCTATAAAGTCAGTTTAGGAAGTCTGGACGCAATAACAGGAACATCTGTATCATACAATAGCTTAAAAATGACGTGTAGCCGATACAGCTACTGATTAGTGGTGTTGATTCGTCTGTTGCAAATTCTGAAGCCACTCTTCACTTATTCAAGTTTGTAAAATACAAATTCTGGTACCAACCTCTTCACTTTTATCAGTTTCATCCTTTGGTTTGTCTTTTCTTTTAGACAGGTTGTGCAGCTTCTTTACTCCTTCTCTGAACCCTGGGCAGTAATAGAGAACCTGCAGAAGCAATCGTATTTCAACACAAGATTAATTAGAAATCTCAAAACACCTCCCTAAATGACAAGTGTTTAAGTAGGATGTTAAATCTTGGTGATCTCATGGGAAACACAACAAAGTGACAGTCATCTACGTTTTGCTGTTTTACTCACAATAAACTAAAACAGTGACATTAAAAAAAAATAAAAATTCATACCAGAGGGTAAGATATCCATCAAAACCAGTTGTACTGGAACAGCCTATAGTTATCTATTACATCCACAGATACACTGACAGGTCTAGCACATTTTCATCAGCACTTCCTTGGACTACAGCAGTAACTACCAATAAATATAACCTGGATGAGCAGCTGACAGTGGGTTGATGTTAAAGATAGACGAAACACTTAAAAGATAAAACAGGCCAATCACCCAAATGGAAAATGACTACCTAATTTTTGCTAAAAATAACTTATAACAGGCTGGACAAAAAAACAACATTTAAGTCTGGTGCAAGCAAAACTTAAGACTGTTAAAACACTCTAAGGCCTTTAGGCAAATTAAAATCAATGCTTTTAAAGTCTTTTCAAAACCTGCTGGATTTCCTGTACAATGTTAATGCAGTGAACAGTAAGAATACAAGTCGTAAAGTAACTTAACACTGACGTTTTCTGCTTGAATACTAAACAAGAGGCCACCTTGCTGAATAACCAGTGCCCTAAAGGAAGGGCTGTCCTGATGGATATTATATGTTCTTCTCACTACAGGGGAAACATCTTTACTTTTCCAAACAAGAGCTGAAACATGACCCCACAGCACATCACAGAAGCACACCCTCACATGATCCATACATCAAGCTTTGTTCACTGAGACAGAAAAACAAAATAGAATTTATTAAATTAAGAGCACAAGACTCCAATCAGCAAAGTCCAGTCCAAAAGAAGACTGAGTAGCAGTCTTCTAAGAGGACGGGCAGCATATCTAAACCACCTTTCAAAAGAGGAAACTAGGCCTAGTGTTGGAGTGGGCTAAAACATAAGCTGGTACTAAATCTGTAATGATGATGATGAATCAACCAAATGTAAAATAGAAGTATTTTTTACCAGTGGTCTTAGATTTGTGGACCTCACTGCATGTTGCTGCCAAACAGCCAATAAACATAGAAACCCACTCTCTCTGTGATAGTGACCCACCTGTAAGATACTGTTCAAATAGCAGGTGTTTCCCAGGTTGTTGAACCCCACAAATGGCACCAAGGTCTCTCTCTTTTCACATGGCAGAAGAAGGCCAGGTGAGGCTGGACATTGAGACGGACCAGGGACCACCTGATCACAGCTGCTGAACAGCAGAGGAAAAAACAAAAAGAGAAATCTATCAATTGCTACATTCGTACAATCCCCACTATTTTTTATGCCATGAAATAAAACTATCAACATGTATGAGAGAAAGCATGACTAATGGCCAGTGTTCATTTACAATTTGCTCAAAATAATTAACTTTGCATAACATACACAATGATTTCATTAACAGCTATAAACTGATAATATACTGCATACTGAAATATGGTATTGCAATATGCGTCACAATTTAGGTGGATATGATGACATTTTTTGCATTCCTTTTCCTATGAAACATCTAAAAGTGATTACAAGATTGTAGCAGAGGTCTGTATCAAAGGACAATGTCACACCACAATGTCTCATAATGGTGACACATTTTGCGACCCAAGAAGATGGACATATGGCGCATTGTGGACGAATTCGCGGAGCGCAAGGCACGTCGTGTGCCCTTTAAATAGTGGTGAGTAGATCTACTTTTTTTTCCTGAATTTGTGATTGTGTGTGAGCTTGTGGGCTGCTGTGCCAACTTTCCAAAATGGTCTAACTATTCATACAGTATAATTAAAAAAAAAACAAAAAACAAAACACATCAGTAACTCTGCCAGAGTGCTTCTTTGGGTCACTTTGCCGGTCCCAAGCTAGGATAAAGAGGAGGGCTGGACGTTATTTCCACCACACATAACAGTCAGTTTGATTAAATTTGATATTCTAACATTTAATAATACAGGACAAATTTTATTTATCTAAATGTGGGTCTAGCCAAAGCATTAGTCATTAGTTATTTTGAGAAACGGTCTATTTCACATGTGTCAAACCCAAGGCCCGCCACATGATTTTGTGTGGCACACTAGAGATGTGTGTTTCCTAATCTAATAAATTAATGGGATTTACGCAATATAATGTTATAAATCATGTTACAATAACACAGCAATGTGCCTACACAGGGCTCCAGACTGTGACCAAACTGGTCTCATATGCGACCATTTTTGAGTGACTGACTGTGTGCCAGCTAAAATTTCACGTGGTCACATTGTGCCAGTGAGTGATGATCATTAGGCTGGCTGATCTGGTTCCTTCCATCCACACAGGTAGCTGCAGCAAGATATTGTGGTTGGAAAGGGTTTTTTTTATTTTTTTAATGAAACTAAATTGAACAAAATATTAACTACAATAAAATCAGCAAGAAAGTTACTGTTAAAAAAAAAAGAGTCTATTTTTGTGCAGTTGTGATTACGCGTTAGTTTCTGTTTTTATGTATGTGTGAAGGTTACATACAAACATATATCTCACTCATCAATCACAGGTGAGAGCAATTTACTCTGCAGGACCTGCAGGTGTGCTTGAATGGGTACAAACCTATCCCTTGAATTTAAGGATTAGCCGTCTCTACTTTAAAAGCCACTTTTGGCTTTCAAAGACTGAAGTCAGCACAACTGTGTGAGTGAATATGATGCAGGTGGGCCTCCAACCTGCCAGCCTGGCCCTGTGTGCAGCCCTATAATAACCTGCACAGTGACATCAGACTCACCTTTGCTCAGGCTCCTCTGGTTCAGCTGTTTTGGGTTCATCTGTCTGAGTTTCAGAGAAATCCAGAGCTCGTTTGGTTTCCTTCTTCTGGAAGAACTTCAGAGAGAGTTTACTTTTCTTCACAGGGCTCCCCAGCGCCGCCACCACGTTCTCGCCCTGCAGACCTGGCATCGTTCCCCGCTACCTTGATGGTGATTTCTATTTTCTACTGAGACGCAACAGCGCACCTCACTGGCAAAAAAAAGAAACAGAATTTGATTTCAGTAGGCGCCATCAGAGTTCAACGAGAACGAAAGTAACTGCGCACTCAAGTTTACGCTGTGTTGTTGCTCAACTACAACAAAACTGCGCCGATTTGATCAATTCAGACAGTTCTGGATCAGAAAGTCAAACCCAGTCACCGAGTGAACCACGTATTATATAACACGTTAGCTGGCTAAGGCTAACTTAATGGAGCCGCTCTTGTTTCTCTGCCTCTCTCAGCAACTGGAATACAGCTGTTTACGCTAGCAGCCGTTATCTCTTCAGCTCGAGTGAACCGCAGCGACGCAGAAACAGCGCAAAAATAAACCGACGATGTTGAGCACTTTGCTCACAACACAGCGACAAAACTGGGTCGACACGGTGCGGTGAAGAAGTGGGAGGAGAAACAGGCAGCACGCCGCTTCAAACTGTCCACTTCAACCAAACGACTTATCGAAACCCCCACAGTGTCGAGACGTTTTTAAATCTTACCTGAACGAGTCATTCCAGATGTAAGTCTGATATATTTCACCAAATATCCAGTCTGCGAACCATTTACACAGTGTTTGACAATTCAGACGGTGCCGCAGAAGTTGGCGCTTTTTCCTGCTGGAGGACGCGCTGGCCGTCACACCGCCGGTGGAACAGCCACACCATATCCAAATATTCGGCAAAAATGTTCCAACAGCGGTACACCCTGGTGTTAAAAGTATTTCAGGCGTATGCGTAAAACTTTCAAATGGACATAGACCTCTTGAAAATTATATAACCGCAAAGACTTTCGTTCCAGATTTCCGGCTTAGATAAAGACACCTACTTCATTTAGGCCCTTCCGGCCAGTTCCAGACGCCATCTTTGTAGTTTTTTTGTAAAGCGGTGGTCAAGTTAAATAAGTAACACCAGTAGTTTTTTTCAAATTAAACGCGTAGAACTAGTTGGTTGACGATCTTTTACGAGGCATAATGAGAAGTCAGACCAAGCTTTAATTATCAAAAGCAACTCCCTTGGAAAGCATTAATTGAAAGTTTGTACAACATAATATTTTTGTATTTTTGCTTAAGAAATACCAGTGAATTGTAAAACATCATTTGTGAGTAGTTACTTCCAGCTAAATAAATAAATAAATAATCTAGGTATTTAGCACCACTGGTCAATCGTTTTCAGAAATCGAATAATTCCTTTAAAAAATAGAGTAATTCGTAATAGTACGGAAATGGGGACCAGTTTTGTAACACTTTACATCTCCATGTCATTTCAGTTAGCATGCTGTTGCATTAACAAATTAAAATTTAGATTTTGTCATTTTGCCAATGTGTTTTCTGCTAAATTCGGGTTAGAATAAGTGTATACTTGTCAGCTTAGGCCTTCTACCCTTTTGGAGCTTTTTTCCTCAACTGATTTGTTTGAGTTAACATTTTCTCTGTTACTATATTAGTCTGATGGTGTAGTGTTGAGAAAAATGTGATGCAGAAACCTGAGCAAAAGTTACAGTAAGTTACACAGCCATATTGAGTTCCACTGGGCTGTCGTGCTTTTAATTTGAAGGCACTTAAAGGCAAAATCTATTTTCCACTGTATGACTTCACAACACTCCTTTTCGCATGACCCAGTCAAATAATTTAATTTGTGGATATTTTTATATTATTGAGATGCGTCTTACAACTATTACTCTTCCTTATTTAAAAAAAAAAAAAAAAAAAAAAAGATATTTCTTGCACAAGACTAAACGTCAGACAGCAGCTGATGACGGTTGTTTCCTGCAGTGTCCACTATGAGCCTGCAGGGGGCGACACTGTCCGGCGAACGGGAGGCTGGAGCGGCCAGCAGCATCATTCCCACCTCCACCACAGCATCCCCTCATCTGACAGCCAGCAGGCTATCCTTCTTTCCACGATTTTCCACGGTAAGATACTATTTTCTCTGCTTTCTGCGTTAATTGATAAACCCAAATCCGCTTGAATCGCTCTCCGGGGGATGAGCCTGTTTAATCTCTTTTTGGGCTTATTTGTATCAGTTGCACTATGTTGGCTTTAATAGGAGCTACTGAGTGTTGTTGCTGGCGTGCGTTTTTACGATACGTGTAGGATCGCAGCACCTGAATGCAGCACCGAATAAATGGGAAATGACAGGTGCGTCGTTTCATCCCTGCATGCATCCAGTGTGGGCATTTGTCAATACGACGGTATGTCTGCTGGACGATCCGCTGCTGTAGCTGCAGAGTGGCTGCTTGGTCAGCAGCACAGATATCGATGGACAGGAGCTCCTGTGCTCCAGCTTCCAGAAACCACTCAGGTTTGCTGGCTTGGTGATCAAGTGATGTTGCAGCAGGGATGCTGATAGTGGATGGAGGTAGTAGTTTGGAGGGTGCAGGACTTGCTGTGGGACTGATGATAGTAGAGCCACTGCATGCAATCACCATCCTCAGTCTGATGCCTGTGTTATCTCTCCAATCTGCAGCTCTAAGAAGGCTTTAACTGTACATTTCCAGAACCCCCATACCTCATTTAACCTGGGAACCTTAAATCACATTTATGGTGTTTGGTGATTGCTTTATAAGATAGATTTCATTACAGATGAAGTAACCAGCGTGTGATTTAATCCAGATTTACAAAGGTTGGCCGATGAGAAGGTGTGAGGTTTGCTTTCTCGCTTTCCCATCTAAATCCAAACCAGGAGATGCCTTATAAAGGAGGATTACTGTGTTTCACTTCCATCATCACCTCCTGATAACATCGTTTTCTCAAGCGAAGTCAGAGCCCGCCACCCGTGTCCTCAGCTGCAGGCAGTGAAATCCACACAAGGCCTTGTTTTTGATTGGCTATTGCATTACACACTAGATGCAACAGGACAGCCAGACACTGAGCCAGATCACTGAACAGATTTCAACTATTAAATACGTGGTGGTGAAAATATTCTCTCTTCCTGCGATATATTCTTCAACTTATTGGAGACTTTTTCCATTTTTAAAAGGCAAATCACTGAGTGAAGGATAAAGAGGAGGGAAACTATCCACTTCATTCAATTTAGTCAAACTGCACCTGCTGTGAATGTGATCATTTCACAGATATTGCCACCTACTGGCCAATCCACCAAGAATTTAACCTCTAACCTGTGGTAGTAATGAGGTCCTTTCTCCATGCACTGGGCTATGGAATTGGCCTTTATCAAGGCAGGCTTTGTCCCAGGAGGCACGACGCTCTCACGGCCGGAGCTGTGGAGGTGGGTGGTGTGGCGGCTCAAAGCCCATGACACGAGAAAACAGCCCCCTCCAGCCTCCTGCCTCCAGCCGCCTTCTCTCCCAGGAGGGGAACAGTGGAGGGAAAATGAAGGCATGTTGAGCGACAGGCAATGGTGCACTCCAAGAATGAGAGGCATGTCGTCAAATCTACTACAGTTTGCTTCTCAACAACAAACCCTTTATACACACATGCATGCAGTGATTTTCCTCCACTTCTTTATCCTCATAAACCATCATGCTGATTCCTACACTCACATACAGTCCACACATGTCCACGAATAACCTTTTCCTGCCACTGCATTCTATGATGAGCAGATTCAGAAAGATGCATGCATTTATGAATGCATGCATCTTTTATTTTCTATCGCTTTTGTCTTTCATCGATTAAATGCCCTCAGCTTCCCAGAGAGCAAGCTGATGTCATCACAGTGCCTGTTTTACCCAACCTGCCCAGAAGTTAAAGTTTTTTCATTTGTAGTCATGTAAAATAGAGCTGGACTGATCCTTTATTTTGGGAGCAAATTCTGATATTGATATATCAGCCAATGCTGTTTAGATATGTTGCAGTCATACTTAAAAGTAAAATGATGGTGTCATTGTTCACTTTCCACCAATGTATTTCACAAACGAGTTGGCAACTCACCTCGAGGACAAACTCTGGCTTTCTCAGCTGTGATACGTACTCTGCTACATGTGCTGCAGACAGTAAGGGTGCTTTAAAATGAAGTCGGAGCCGCTTTGCTCGACGAATTATGTGATGATACAGTTTCTGAATCACCCCAGATATATTTTCCTGTATTATTCAATTCAATTCAATTTTATTTGTATAGTCCAGTTTACAACATATGTCATCCCATAGCGCTTAACATGGTAAGGTATAGACCTTACAAATTTATGTCCTGTAATAGAAATCGTTTTTTTTTGTTTATGCTTTTTGATATACTCTGCTGCTGATATACGACAGTTCTGTTACAGGCCAGTATCGGCCTCCAATATCAGGCTGGTCAGATTCTAATGTAAAAGAGAGAAAGCAACCTACACATTTTTGCAACTGGAAAAAAAGGGGTTTGTTAAAGCTTGACTTCTTCATTAAACAACTAATTGCAATAGCACTATATGAAGGATTTATTGAAAATCACAGCAAAAACAAACAATTTAGCCAAACAGTTAATGTTCTCCTCTCGGGGCATCCAGACCTCTGGGTGAGAACCGCTGGATTCATCACCTAATTTTGGCAACTTAACACAAACATACTGCGAGCGGTAAACTCAAGTCATTAGCGGTTATTTTAGGCATGAAGATCATCTTTGCTTTGTTTTTACATAAGCCGGTTTATTTATTTTCGCTGAGCACCCCTGCAGACATTTCTTACAGGCTCTGCACAGCTGAGAAAATAGTTCTATGTGTGTCAGTGAAAGTAAGTTAATGAGACTCTATATGAGGTTATGCATGTGTGCATAACCTCGCATGCATATGTGCATATATCAAATCAAATCAGATCAGAGCTCAGGCTGCAAATAGGACCTCTCACTCTCTATCTCTCTCTCTCTCTCTCTCTCTCTCTCTGTCTCTCTCTTTGCATACTTGAGAGCATCTAAGCGACTCCCATTCGGTGCGTGCTGAGGAGGTGGGTGTATCCAGCCCAGCCGTTCTGATGTTAGGAAGCAGCAGCTCTTCCATCCTACTCAGTCTGCTCTCCACTCTCCCTGCTCTCCTGTTTCAGCCAGTCTGTCTGCCCTCTAGCGTAGTACTCTCCTTTCACTCACCACTATTCATCACCATCTAGGATATATTTACACAAACCCACGTAGGTAGACAGAGCACCGTCCTGGTGGACTGAAGGGTTTGCGTGCGGCTAGCAGATAGAGATATATATTTTTAAACATATATGTGCATTACCCTGGAAAGCTGTAGAAAGTGGGGCTCTGTGGCAGTGCTGCTGGAACTGAAGTTTCTTTCCCACTACATTTTTTGTCCCAAAGGATACCACACACAGCTGCAGAGGTAAGGGAAGCATAGATGTGTCTGCACTTTTCTCTACTTATTTCTCTTTATTTTACTGTTTTGCACTCGTTCTCCTTTCTCAGCTGTTTATTCGGTTTATTTCTTGTGTGCTCTCCTTTTTTTTTTTTTTTTGGCATCCTCACCTTTTATTTTTTCCACTTATTAATTCTTCATGTTTTCTTTTTTAAAAAAAATCTTTTTGCCACTGTGCTCTGTTTTTGCATTTATTTTTCTTCTGTCCCAACAATATTCATTCTGATTGCACATTTGGCATTATCTGTACAAAAACCAAGAGATTGCATAGCAGCTATACTGTGAAGACTGTAGATTTTATCTTCTTTCTCGCTCTGTGTGCTGGTTTTGATTG